TTGTCTGTCCCTAAAAATGTCTCTAATTGCTCTTTCTCAGTTCGCTTAGCCATCCCTTGGATCAATGGCTGTTGCAGAGAGATAAGGTAGCATGATAGGCCTAACCTGGCTCACATATAAGTCCTGGTGGCAGGACTGAGCTAACCATGACTGGCATTTCCCAAAGAGCCATTCACGGTGAGGTTTCCCCAAAGGAAAGAAGACTAGGCAGACCAGAATTGACCGATGTTCACCAAAGCTTCATTGATATTAAACTGTGCTGTCATAGATGGATATTTTTTGTCAAATGAAGCAGCAAGGGACATCTATTATTGTTACAAGAAGCAATAAGAGCAAAACTAAGAGGACATACACCAGCTTGGAATATCAGGAGACTAGAAATAGTCTTGGAGGTTGGAGCATAGTAGGGGCCATGGCTTAAGATGAAGCTGTGAGATTGACAGGAGCCTCATTGGCCATACTAGGGAACCTGCTCCTTGCACTGTAGGCAATGGAGAGACATCCCTGGTTTTAGACAACGGATGGGGGCGGTCAGATTTCCATTTTAGAATATCACTATGGCAGCAGTGTGGAGACTGACTTGGAGAAGCCAAGAGTGGAGGCAGGGAGACTAATAGGGAAACCACTACAGTAAACCAGCTGGAGTCAGTTCTGTGGTATGCTAAAGATACTAATATGTAATAGTCTCCATGTGCAGGTGGGCGATGAAGGAGGGAGTGTTAAGGCAGTACTTAAGGTTATAGTGGGGAAGCAAAAGATGTGGAGGCTGGCCAGCAGAATCAACATGACTTGGTCTTTCAAGAAAGTTAGTGTCTACCCTGACTTGAGTAGGGTCATTTGCTGAGATGAAACATATAGAAGGAACAGGTGTGAGGGTAGATGGTGGGGCATTGCTTGAGATGGTGACTGCATGCATTTGAGTTTGCGGGAGTGACTATGAACAGTTGGCAGTTCAGTATAGGGATCTGCAGCTCAAAGAAGAGGTAGAGTTGGAGAGTTGATGAGAATGAAGGGCCCAAGAGTTACTGGTTTTGTCCTGGTTAAGGGAAGGAGAAATCTGGAGACCAGTGCGCTCGCCAGGTGAGGAGCACAGCTTGCACCTCAGCCATCAAACAAGGGTCAGAAACTGAAAGTGAGTTTCCTAATGGTGTCCTATGCAAATGTGTGGTCATTTTGACTCATATCTAATTCTGAGCATGGGCTGCTTGCCTCTTGTCCACCTAGAAGTGACTTTAAGATCATCACTGTGGGTTGGGTTCTGTGGCTTATGCCTATAATCCCAGCACTTTGGGAGGCCAAGGCGGGCAGATTACCTGAAGTCATGAGTTCAAGACCACCCTGGCCAATATGGCAAAACCCCATCTCTACTAAAAATACAAATATTAGCCAAGCGTGGTGGCACGCACCTGTAGGCCCAGCTACTTGGGAGGCTGAGGCAGGGGAATCGCTTGAAGCCAGGAAGCAGAGGTTGCAGTGAGCTGAGATCACACCACTGCATTCCAGCCTGGGCAAGAGTGAGATTCTGTCTCAAAAAAAAAAAAAAAAGAGGCCATCACTGTGAAAGGGAGCCCCAATAGTCAAAGAATCCTGCAACCGCTATGGATGCACAGTGGGTCTGTCATGAGGCCAGGCCCAGGGTCATCAGTCAGAATGCAGATGTAAACATGCTAATGCTGTTGCCTGATTGTATATGCTAACAACTGTTTAGCTACAAATTCTAACCTGATTATAGTAATAAACTCCCAATAAGGAGTTCCCTTGAGGAGAATGTAAAACTACAGCACAAATGGGCTCAGCCTGACTGCTTTCCCACTGTTGCCTCTTCCTGCACCAGCACTCCTCTGGTCCATGTGATTCAAAGCCAAAACACCACTTTGCCTCACCCCCAGAGCCTGTTAGTGTTGAGGCTCATCAATTCTGTTTCTAGCATTTGTCCTTCTCTTTCCATTCTGATTGGTACAACTCTAAGCTAGGAAGTTTGTTAGTTCATCCATCCTCACTGCACACCTAGGTGAATGGAGCAACCTCCTAAGGCATTTAAATGATATTTGAATTCAGAGGTCAGCAGACAAGGACCCGTGGGCCAAATCTGGCCTACTACCCGTGATTGCAAATAAAGTTTTATTAGAACACAGCCACACTCATTCATTTAAATATTGTCCAGGACTGCTTTTGAACTACAATGGTAGCATTGAGTAGTCGTGACAGACACTGTATGTCCCAAAAAATCTAAAATATTTCCTGTAAAGGAAAAGTATACCAGCCCCTTTTAATCTGCTTTATACATGAATACCAGATTAATGTTCCTAAAATGCCATTTCTCTATGTCATTCTGTAGCCTAGAACCCTGCAATGACATTGCCTTGTCCATGCAATGAAATCTAAAATTCTTGGCCTGGCACTTCATGGCCCTCCACCGTGTACTCCTAGCCAATCTCTTGAGTCATTGATCTCTGTTCCCAAAGGCGAGCCCTGCACCCAGTTAGATTTTCCTCCTCATTTGTCCCTGGAATATGCAGTGCATTTCTACCCTTGCTCACCTAGTTCTTTGCCTGGATTGTATTGCCCATTTGTATCTACCTAAATCCTACCTATTTTTTATTTTTTTGAGACAGGGTCTCACTCTGTTGCCCAGGCTGGAGTGCAGTGACATGATCTTAGCTTACTGTAACCTCCCCTTCCTGGGTTCAAGTGATTCTCCTGCCTCAGCCTCCCAAGTATCTAGGATTACAGGCATGCATCGCCATGCCTGGCTAATTTTTGTATTTTTAGTAGAGATGGGGTTTCGCCGTGTTGGCCAGGCTAGTCTTGAACTTGTGACCTCAGGTGATCTGCCTGCCTTGGCCTCCCAAAATGCTGGGATTACAAGCATGAGCCGCTGTGCGTGGCCCTAAATCCTGCCCATTCTTAAAGGACTAACTTGAAATCTACAACCTTCATGACCACGTCAGTTATAGTGATCACTGATGAGCCTGCTGCTTGAGCATGTAAAGGTCCAGTGCTTGTACTGCCTGGTAAGCTTCATTCTGCTCAGAGAATGGCTCACCAGTATGATGATGGGCATGTCTGAAGTGAGAACTTTCTGTTGGAACAAAGTCACAGCTGTGGGAAAGCCTGGAAACGGTTTGGAAATGACAAGACATGTAATGAGATATTTGACAAAGTCACAGCTGTGGGAAAGCCTGGAAACGGTTTGGATATGACAAGACATGCCACTCAATATTTGTGGAGGTCTTGAGCCATCAGCCTCTCATATCTATGACATACATCTTGGTTCTGTGTTCAAATGTAGGACAACTACATATCTTGACAGTCAGTGAAAATGACTGACAAAGTCCAGTCAACCTACTCTTGAAAGATTCTAGAATGTAGAGATAGCAGCTGGTCCTGGAAGCCGTAGCTTTATCATGTGGTATCTCTGAGATGCTGGGTAGGTGGGCTGTTCCCACTGTGCCTCACCTTTCCCATCTACTGCTATGTATTATATGGTCTTGCACACTCTCTGGGATTAAGTAGCATCAATTATGCACCACTGATTGGAGTTCATCGGTAAATGGTACATCCTAAAATATTCATGCATCTTACTTTGTCAGGGAGATCATATCCCTGACTTGGATATTCTGTTCTAGTGGCTTAAGATTATGAGCTAATATTTCATAAAGTTTGGGGATCACACAGAAAACCATGGTTGTAACACACATTATTATTACATTGATTTGAATAGCAGTGGTACAATCATAACCCCAGAAACACAGCAACTACATAAGATAAAAGCTTCCGTTTACACCAAGCACAGTAGCCTGGCTTCCACGTTGTTGTTGTCCCCAGGATTTGGCTGTTGTATTGTCAAATGCCATAATGTCTTGTCTAACAAGTTTCTCCCTGCGTATGTGAGTAAAAGAGAATGCTCCGGTATAGTAAATGTCTCGGCAAACCACTCCTGTGCACTTTGGAAACAGAGCATTAACAAGAAAACTATAAGAGCAGGTCTTTCTATTCTCATGAATCACATTCATATGCTGTTGATTGTCTGCACTGGAGAAATATAGAGAAGAATATGAAGGGTGCACTGTAATAGAAAGGTTATGGTGGAAATGCAAGGAAAATACATCCCTTTAAAACCAGTTTCTAGGCGTGACCTAGAAGTAAACTTACAGCAATAAGAATAAGAGCAAATAACATTGATTGAGCACTTACTTTGTGCTAGATATTGTTCTAAACCTTTTACATTACATCATCTCATGTAATCCACTCCACAACCAAGTGGTTTGGGTGCAGTTATTATCTCCACTTTATGTAGGAGAAGACTGAGACCCAGGGAGGTAGAAGAACTTGTCAGTAGTCAGACAGGGTAGTAAGTGGTAGTGGCTGGGAGCTGGACCCAGACAGACAGATTCCAGACTTCATATTTACCGTAAGCTCAGCTGCCCCACCCACATGAAATGCTAGCCCAAGGCTAGTGGCAGCAAAGATCAGCCATTTCATTTGCATTGTTGGATGATTTGTCCTATAAAATTTGAAATAACATCAGAGTATTTATGTCTATGATTCTGATCAAATAAATCTCACCCAGAATTTCCCACTGTTTTATTCTATAGTATTTGCAGTTTGTAAGAACCTCTGTCTTTTGGATTGAGACATTTTATTCTTTGTGCCCAAATTAACACTGCACAGAACATGGCTGTGTGTGTGTGTGTGTGTGTGTGTGTGTGTGTGTGTGTGAAACTGCCTTTTCTTTTGGATTAAATTCTTGCAGCCTGGCTGAGTGAGGAGAATTTCTCCCACTCTTTGAGCCTACAGCAGACATGTTAGGAGGATGCTGCTGCTTGCAACACACCCAGAGACGGTGGGGCAGGTGACACTGCGTGTGTGCCCAGTGTCTCTGGAAGTGTCTACACAGATGTGTGCTGCTGCTGCTGCTGCTGCTGCTGCTTCCTGCCTTAAAATTTCTGGAGCCAACACCCACCCACTCTTACAGCCTCTCTCTCTTTATTTTCAAGGAAAAAAGAAAGAGGCAGACTGAAATAGAAGGCAAGCGACAACAGCTTGACGAGCAGATACTTCTGCTGCAGCATTCCAAGGTAAGCGGCTGATCCCAGGAACCTATTCCATTATTAGACATGCAGATCACACTCCGGAGAGCTGGGCAGTGCCTGCCCTGCCGTGAAGGTGCTGCCGCCAACCAAACCAGCCTTTTTCATTCAATCGAGGAATGAAAACCATCTCTTGGCTTTTCTTGTGAATTTCTCAAGTTCAGGGCATTATTACAGCATTCCAATTTCTGCAAGCATAAGATGACAGTGTGAATGTGGACAGGGTGGAGGGTCTGTGCATGTGAAGTGTGGTGGCTATATATAGAAATTGGATGAGAACACTCCACAGGGTGGGTGAGGCAGCGTTTCAGGATTGTTTCTCCCATGCACAGGGTACTGGGTGTGTTTGCTCAGAGGCTCCAAAAGATATATTTCACAGACTGTTCTTTTTTCTTACTTAAAATTGTTATTTTCTTTCTTGATATGTGGAAAAGGGAGATTAAACGATGTGATCTGATAATAGAACAACACTGTATTTCAGATTATTCATTTATTTTAGTTCTAGTTTAACAATTCTGAAAGTGTTCTCTGAGAGCAAGCAGTTGGTCAAAGATGGCTTTGAAATGATTTGACTTGGATGGGTCTCCATTGTACCATCTTAAAAAGAGAGAAAGACAGAGAAACAGAGACAGCACACAAGAGCTGTTTATTTTTTCTTTAAAACATAATGCACTTAAGCATCGTAATTGATTACAGCCCAGGAGAAAGCTCTGTCACTGTCACAAGGACCCCACTGGTTGAAAATGTTGCTTTTCACATGTTCAGAGAATAATGTGACCACATTCCAATGGCCAGCCAGGAGTTACTGCTTGCCTTTGACTGCTCCTGGGCTTTTTCGTAGGAAAATCTTCTGCTCACCTCATGTTGCTGTGACATTGCCTGCACAGAGCTGCATTGCTCAGAGGGCTGGGTGGGAAGGTGGCACTGACTTTTGGGGTGATGCTCGGTATGAATTATTTGGATTTTTTTTTCAACAAGATAAACCTTTATCTTGTTTTTCCCTATCCTTTTCTAGAAATCAGGATTGTGCTAAATGAATTCCCAAAATGAGAACCATCAGCAAGCAAGTTACTGATTGAAAATAGCAGCATGACCTATATCTGCTTAGCATGTTTATCAGTTTACCATTAACGTTAACCAGAGAAATGTGCTTAAAGGAAGAAAAGCAGCATGACACTGAGGATATTGCCTGTTTCTCTCTGTTCATCACATGAATTCATTGACAGATCTTTCTTTGTAGGCGCTCGCATGTATCCCATGTGCTGTTGCTTTCCCCACAACGTTCCTGAGGGAGGATGGAGGGCTAAAATTAGTATCCTCTTCTCACAGAGAGGGGGTCATAAAAACACCTGATAGAACTGAGTGAATTGTTCAAGGTCAATCTGGACAGAGTAAGGTCTCTGGCTCAGAGTACAGTCCATTCAGTACGGTACTTGTAAGAGACCAACATGTACTAAAACCTCAGTGAATTTCTGGTTAAAGGTGAACTTCTAAACAAAAGGACTGAATGAAAAGAGAGGCTGCTTTTGGCTAGACAGCCTCACCTTAAGCTCAATGTAGTTCTTTGCTTTTGTGTTCCCTGAACCTAGTAAGGGAATAAACATATGTCAAAATATCAAGGGATTTTTTTTTTTGGTCTCCCTTCTCATGATCCTGGGTGCTAAATAAGATACCAAGGACTCATTTATTGCTGATGTCCAGTGCAGTATTACTATATTCTGTGGATATTACATCTATTCATTTTTCATCTAGCCTTTCATCCATTCATCCAACCATCCATCTATCCATGCATTCATCTATCCATCCATCCGATCAACAGAAACAACAGTAAAAGTTACTTGGTCTTATATGGGGCAGCAGTGAGGTTTTTCTCAAGGACTTGGAAGCAAGGGAATCAGCTACCTCTTTATGGTTATCTTGGTAAAATTCTCACACAGCTGCTGAGATTGGCTATCTGAGGGAACACTCAACACTAGCACCATGGCAACCTTGCTATTGCAGGGTAGGAGGTGGGTGAGGTGGGGAGAACTGGAGGTGATGATAAGTTACTAAGTGGAGGTCAGTGCATTGCATGCCTCTCTCTGGGAAAGGCTTGTGTGGACAGAATGAGGGTGGGTTGTTTGCCTTGGATACTGAAAAAGGAAAGCTCAAAAGTTCCAGGGGTGGTGGTAGTTATCGGGTACTACATGCAGAGGGACCCCCCAGCTTTGGAGCATCCTGAATTTCTGTATGCTGGTGAGGTGGGGTCAGTGGTAAGGTGAGGAGGGTCTTCAGGCCTCACTGTGGCCCAGGAGGGGCCTCAGGATCTTGCCTCTCTTTGTTCCGAATTCATTCTCCCTATAACTAATCAGTTCTTTTGATATAAAGAAGGGGTTGCCTGATTGAAGGATACGATCACTTTAGGCTCTAGGAAGGAATATGTTTCACTTTAAATCAGTAAACTGGTGACTGAACTTGAATAGCATGAGATTTTTTTCCCTGTAATCATCCAGTTTGCTGCCTAGTAGGCTCACCCCTGGATTGAAGTATGTTCGTGGAGGTTGTATTTTCTCCTCTGTGAGCCTCTCCAAGGAATCAGCCAGCTTTCTGCTGGTAGCCTGTTATCCACCACCACTAACAGTCACCATTTTTTTGAGTGTCTAACATGTGTCTGGTACTTTAAACACCTACCCTCAATAATGACCACAAGACAGTTATTACTCTCTTTGTCTTACAGGTGTGGGAAAAAACTCATGAGGTCAAGTAATTTGCCCAAGCCCATAGTGACTATAAGTAAGGGAGTCTGAGAGGAACTCCTGGGCTGTCTGCTTTCAAAGACTGAGCTCTTTCCAGGCCACTGTTCTCTTTGAAGGAAATGTTTCCTTTGGAATAATTCATCTAGTGAGATGCCAGTTACCATCATTGCTGTCTCTTACTCTAAATATACTGTTATGGACTCCAGAAAATTTAGACTGTGTGGAGACATATCACAGTGATTACTGAAGTTTTTTGAAGTAGAGGATATTAGGAAATATGTTAGTAATCAATATTTATTTCATTAATTTGCAAAATCCTAGATATTCTCTAAAAAATTATTCTCACCGCATTAGAGTTGGTTGTCATGTTTATAAGAAATGATTTTCATATTCTTTATATAATTCTCATCTTCTATATCTTTAAGATATAATTATCACATGTGGGAATTATGAAATAGTCTGTGGACCCTTATTTTCATGCAATGAGATGGATTATTTAGACAGATTCACTGGTCCCTAGTCAAAGCAAAATAAATAGAATGCCAGACAGTAGTTTGGGCATTCACACATATTTTTAGAAGACTTACTCATCACAATATTTAGGAGCATATAGTGAGCAACTCACAAAATGGAATATCATCACTTTATATATGGACTTTGAACAAATTCTATAATATAATAAAAGACCAAGCATAAAATGGTAAAATACTAGCTGCTACATCCCAGTGGTTTGGAAACCTCAAGACACTTTGAACTCCAGGCCAAATTAAACTCGGATTTCTTTTTAAAGCATCCTGAAGTATACGAAGTATAATGTAATAATTTCTAAGCATTACAAGTAGCACTAGTAAGCAATTTTTATAGCTATATTATTTTCATATTATAAATTGAAAGAGTATATAATCACTGCAAAAACTAAATTTAAAGGTATAGGAAAATACAAAGAAAAAAACATATGTACTGTATACTTACCATTCAGATAGAACCCGTACAGGTAGATCCTTCTGTACTTTTTTCCCCAATGTATTTCTACAGATTAAGACATGTCATCATTGGTCACAGAGCTCACCAACCTGTGCGCAAAATGAAATTATATTAACATTAGTATTGAAATAATATTAACCTTTACCTCTTTTTTGTATGCGATCTTTTTAATTTCCATACAAAAAATTATCATTTTCATAAAATCCCATGGAGCATCCTTTTACTTGAGGATAACTGACTTTGATGTCATCCTTGAAAAGAATGTCTCCATCTCGAACTCTTAGCTATGATGTTTCTTATACTTCAATAGCACAAATCCATCTAGAATTTATTTACAGACGAGATATGCAGCAGGAATATAACTTCACTTTTTACTGATGCTGAGCCACTTGTCTCAACGTGATTTATTGATTAATTCATCCTTTCCCTCGCTGATTTAAATGTCTTCTTTATCACCTACATATTTCTGACTTACATGTGAGTCCACCATTTATGGATTCTTTTTATTCCATTAATCTGCCCATTCCTGTGCCAGTATTGTTCTCATTTGATCCCTATAGCTTTTTAATATATCGCAATATTTCATAAGACAAGAACTAACATTATTCTTTTGAAAAATTGTCCTGGCTTTTCATTTTGTAGAAACAATTATTTATTCTTATTGTTTTTATAATGTAACTTGTGATCATATAGATTTTTAAAAAATAAATCAGATTAGTACTATATCATACTAGAGCAGAATGAATTTAATATTTCCTTCTGCCCCTTGGTTGAATTGCCAGAGATTTGTCTATTTTATTGGTCTGTTCAAAGTCCCAGCACAGAGTATGCACTCCCTACCTACTGCAACATGAATTCCTTGGAGACTGTCATATTTACAAAGGTTTGTCTGACAGAGTTGGCCCTGCCAGAATCAAATTGCTAATACCACGTCTTCAATACATAAACTGACTTTGAATTACTTATTCATGAGCAGGAAACCCTCACTAGAGCTTTCTTCTAATCCAAGCTATGAAAATTGTCATTATATTTTGAAGACCACAGCCTTTTCTTCCAAGAAAGCTGAATGAAAAAAGATGAAAGGCTGAATGGTGACCCTGTGAAATATTTATTTTCAGCCCACTGAGGTCATTTGCTGAAGAGCCTGAAGGTATCAGAAGCCTTGCTGTAAGGATATTACAGTGTCTTTCCTGGTTTTGAACCCTTAGAACTAATTTTAGACATTTCCTTGTTACTGGGATATGTGAAAGGCTTATTTCAAATTTTAAA